AGAAATCAGAACCCTTCTTGGCAGTCTTGTGAAAGGTAAGTCTCAAAGTGGTTTTTTGTTTTTTTTAATTCTCATTTCCAAAAAGAAAAGTATTGCATAAACATAAAGCACTACAAATCTTGGGTTGAGGGCTGCAACCACAGCATTTACATCTTGTCCCAGAGAAAAGCAAATACTGCATTGTTTCACACATACATGGAATCTGAGGGAAAAAAACAAGAAACAAAACCAAACTCACAGATACAGAGAACAGATTGGTGGGTGCCAGAGGCTGGGGGTGGGGGAAATCAGTGAAAGAGGTCAAAAGGTATGAACTTCCAGCTCTAAGATAAAGAAGTCCTGGGAATGTAATGTACAGCATGGTGACTATAATTAATACTATATTTTTTTTATCAAAGTTACTAAGAGAGTAATCTTAAAAGTTCCCATCACAAGAAAAAAAATATAACTATGTGAGGTGAGGGACATTAACTAATAAACTTATTGTGGTCATCATTTTGCAATGTATACATATATCGAATTGCTATGTTGTACACCTGAAACAAATACAACGTTATATGTCAATTATATTTTACTTAAAAAAAGAAATACATCCCCAATACGTGTTCAAAATCATTCCCCCCAACCTCAAAAAGAACTCCCATCTCTACATTATCAATGGAGAACAAACAACCTACTTGGAAATAACTGGGGCATGGGAATACTTCTGCACAGATAGAAGGTTTGACTTCTCAGAAACAAGCCCCTCATACAGAATTTTAGTTTATTGTTTCTGGAGGCTGTTTTTGTCACGTTGCATTGTCACAACCATGAATCAGAAGCAGCTCCAACCCATACAGTCCTGAAGCACTCACACAGAAACTATAATTTAAGAAAACTAGGAATATGGAAGAATTATACAGATATTCAACCTTACATCAGGGACAGAAACTTCTAACATTCTATGACATTACTGTTGTTTTAGTTAATAACAATAGCTCCCATTTGGGGCTGGGCAGTTTTCAGTATTACCATGTTTTGGACATCATGCTAAGTATTTCTCATGCATGTCCCCTTTCGTTTGCACAACAACCCTACAAGATGGGTATCATCCCCCTTTAACTGATGAGGAAATAAAGATGCAGAGATGGAGTTACTTCCTGGAAGTCACACAGCTGATAAACAACCCAGGACTGACTGAGGTCCAGACTTTCCATGTATCTAAAGGTATCTAGATGTAATCTAAAAATATCTCAAGGCTCCAAAACAAGTTGTAAAAGACGAAATTCTCAGAGTGAAAAGTTTTACAAAGCCACAAGAAAAGAACCAGCATTCTAAAACTAAACTTAAATTGTAGGAGTGAAAAAAAAGGACTGCCTTTAGATTAATGCCAGAAACAGCTTATTTACTATTATTTATTTTCTAAAAGAACTGAACACATTTTGAAACCATTTTTGGAAAATGTCACCGGAATTTGGTAAGTGTATGATCAAATGTTCACCGAGCTTCCACTAGGCGGCCTGTATCGTGAGGTGGCGGGATACAGAAATCAGTAAGTAACAGTTCTCATTTCTCAAAGACTCAGTGGTGCTGGTGGGGCATACAGGTACAGTGACAGACCATAATACACAGCAGAAGGTACAACAACAGCGAGGTGTCTGCTATTACATAGAAGTGAGGAAAGGTACCTAATGGAGCCAGTGGCTGGTAGGAAAGTTTACTGGAGGAAAAGCGGCGAAGAGCTGCCAGCCGGAGGGGGTGGGCTGCTCATTCCAGAAAGCAAGGCCTGGCCACAGACCAGAGGCAAGAAGCAGTGGGGAGACCCACAAAAAGGCCAGGGTGGCTGAAGCATGGAGTGAGAGGCAGGGCACAGGGAAGGCTGGGAAGGGTGGGCAGGCTCCAAATCATGAAGAAGTTTAAACCAGTGAACGGTTTTAAGCAAGGAAGCCACAGACTCAGAATTATCTTTTAACTAACTCCCTCAAGGGCTGTGCATGGGCTTAGAGTCACACAGCCAAAGGTTCAACTTCTGGCTCTAGGGCTTATTAACTGTGAACTTTGGCAAGATTGAAAACCTTCTAAGCTTCAGTATTGTCACCTGTAAAAAGGGAAGTAAATGAGGTAATGAGTCTAAAGCACTGGAACATAGTAAATGCTCAATGAAGGGTAGCTCTTATTATTACTGTTAATATTGCAAGCCTAGAAGTTCAGGGAGATCCAAAAGGGAGTCCAGATGAGACACACTGATGCCCTGAACAGTGATGAAAAACAGGACAATCTGAGAAATATTCAGGAAACAGAAATGATAAAATCTGATGACTACCAGGTTATGGAGACCGGCCCTGCATCACACTCTGCACTGACAGTGTGGAGCCTGCTTGGGCTCTCTCAATCTCTCTCTCTCTCTCTCTCTCTCTCTCTGCACCTCCCCTGCTTGCTTGCTCTAGTTCTCTCTCTCTCTCTCTAAATAAATAAACATTAAAAAAATATATGGTAAAAGGGACAGAGAGGAATTAAGTAGTTATAAGGGAGGAATGTAGGGTCAAATGTTAAGTTTATTTTTAGAATGGTGCACCCCTGAGCATTTTGTGAGCTGAGAAGGAAAAGGTAGATGACAAAGAATGAGGATGCAGGAGACAGAATCACTGACAGAGCAAGGTCCTTGAGGAATTAAGAAGGAGTTTTTTCTTTTTAATTTTTTTAATGTTTATTTTTGAGAGAGAGAAATACAGAGCTGGGGAGGGCCGGAAGGGCAGAGAGGGAGACACAGGATCCAAAGCAGGCTCCAGGCTCTTAGCTGCCAGCACAGAGCCTGATGCGGGGCTCGAACCCACAAACCGTGAGATCATGACCTGAGCTGAGTGAAGTAGGGCACTTAACTGACTGAACCACCCAAGCACCCTGAATTAGGAAGGTATTTTTAAGTATCTACGATGTGTCAAGTACCACGCTAGGCCCTGGGGACACTTGTCCACAAACCATCAGAACAGAGTGTAGCGTGAACACTAGTCTGCAGAGTGCATCCGACCAGCGGAGCTCAGAAGGCTGCCCATCTGACTGTGGGTTTCCTGAACCCAAGCTGGTGCCTGCTCACATTCTACTCTCACTGTCCAATCCACTGTCTGGCACCCACCACCTGCCAGGCATTCAGTAATGTTCTTGGTGTGAATAAATATACTGGTCAGAAACTTTATTTCTAGGGATAGAACTTTATTATAAACAGGTATGAAAATACATTGTAAGATAAAGGGAATTGGGGCATTAAAATACAATGAAATAATAATAATTAAAGTGTAGCACACATGCTTAGAAAACATGCATCTAAGAGCTTTGTACAGGGGCAGCTGAAGGTTAAGAGAATGGGGAGAATGGGGCACAGGGTTCAATCATGTGGGAAAGGCCTAAAGTGATTCCAGAACTCTCTCGGGCCAAATGTGGCCCCTCATCTACAAGCTTATGCTTAAACTTCATTCAACCATCTAAGAAGGGGCAAAATTTTTCATCTCAAAATTGTAGATAAAGGATTAAAAAGGAAATGTGTGTGAAATTACACATCAGCTAAAACCCATTTACTGGCTATGTGACATGGCCCAGGTCCTACAACTTCTGACAAAGCAGATCATGTGACAGATGAGACCCCCCCCCCCCCAACAAGCCCCTTTCAAATCTCTTGCTCAAAGGTTCTAAAGCAGTATTTCTTAACCTTTTGGGGATCACACATTCCTGTGGGAATCTAATGAAAGCTATATATTCTATCCAGCTGTCCCTAAAATATAGACACATGCACACAAAATTCTGCAAATCATTGGGACAAACTCCTGACTGTAAACCTCTGTCCTAGCGGGAAATTAGCTGAGATGCAACTCTTTACAAGATGCTTTGTCTTCCTTAAAAGTAATGGAGACAGATATCAGGGTTACCATGCAAGACCTAAGGTAGATAGCTTCCTGTGTGTCCACTTGTGTGTCCTTTTTATTTTTTAAAGCTTATTTTTATTTATTTTTGAGAGAGAGAGAGAGAGAGAGCACAAGCAAGTTGGGGAAGGACAGAGAGAGGGAGACACAGAATCCGAGGCAGGCTCTAGGCTCTGAGCTGTCAGCACAGAGCCCGACATGGGGCTCAAACTCATGGACAGTGAGATCATGACCTGAGCCAAAGTCAGACGCTTTATCGACTGAGCCACCCAGGGGCTTCCACTTATGTGTCCTTTTGAACTAAGTCTCCTCATCTCTAAACTCCACAGTGCCAAGTGCAGTGCCCTGAATATAGCAGGTACCCACTTAATTTGTGAATCTGGATCCATGGTTCTTGAGTTTTCAGACCTGTGGTGCTTTCCCAGGTCAACTGCAAACCCTCCCTCCCTTTCAGAGACAAATCCAGATGCACAGCAACAACTATGGGCTTACTCTATGGGATCTGTCAACTTTCCAAAATTCATTTCTATTTAGAGGGGTGTAACCCACCCCAGACAAGAAGTTATACCTCAGTTCCAGACCAGAATTTGATGACCCTCTCCTTCCCCCAAAAAGAAAACACACTGTATCTGCTTTTCATAGAAATCCCTTACATTTATATAACTTTATATTTATATTTTTCCAGTCTCTCTCACACACATTCAATATTCATTTGGGACACAGGCAATATACCTGGTACTCCATTTTAAACATAAAGAAAGAAAATATAATATTTAAGTGATCATAAAGAGGGCTTTCTACATAGTCCAGAACCAGGACTCCAAGTCACATTTTAATAAATATGCTAGTGTTTCTGTCACCCGTGAAACGAGACTGACAGAGTGAAATACTTGTGACATTTAGTAAATTGTTCAGTGATAACATCTAAATAGTACCTATCGTTTCAGAAACCAAGAGCCATACCAGTGTAAGCAATTTTATATACAATGATTAAATAGTTTAGTTTTCCAATATTCAGTAATAATCAAACTGACCTATTATTTATGACTTCAAAAAAAAAAAAAAAGCAAAATCCACTGCATAGTAGGGGAAAAATTCCATACTTACCTACTGCACAATGTAAAATCTAGAGACAAAAAAGGGAGAGGAAAGAATTAGTAAAGATCAATAACAATATAGTTTATATAAACTAGCCTTTCAGTATTGAATTTGAAAAATAAACATTCCATTTTTAAACCTGGCTATTTAACAAAATGTAAATTCTTATTTATTTTTGTTTGTTTGTTCATTTTTAGTTTCTGTATCTGTGGAAAATTTTGTAAGGAGTAAATCTGACCCAGTAGTCTACCAGATGTCAAGGATCTCTTTTTTAATACATGAACTTGTAAAAACAGTAGATGTACATCTCCCATGTTCCACATTCTACAGAACAGAACTGTCAGACTATAGAATACAGGGTTAGAAGAGCCTTTTTTGGCTCTTCTTATCCAGCAGGCCCTTCAATGCAGACATTCATTCAACCTACAAAGCTCCAAAGTCAGACTCCATCTTGTCTCATTTGGTGACCTCATTACAGGCATATTCCCAGTCCAATCTGCTACCCTAGATCTCTTTATGCTCCAAGCCCACATTGCAAACTGCCTTTGCACCCCTCCATCCAGGTGTACCAGCAGTGGCTCAAACATGGCATGCCTCTTCAAGAAACTCATGCTTTTCTTCCTTCACGGCTGCTATGCCTCTTGATCATCAACTTCCCAGTCTCCCAAATTCAGCTATTTTCCTTTCCCTCACCTACAAGTCCTATTGATTTCCAAGTCCTGCTAATACTTGTGGCATCTGCCTTCAGGGTTTTTATTTCCAGTGCTTTGGGTGTGATTGCTATCTCTTTTCCATCTCAGTGGCCATCCAACTGGCCAATTTGGTCATTCTAAATTGCCTTCCAATTCATCCTGTATGTGGCATTGCTTTAACCCTGGTGATGGTTGTGGTAAAGAAGTAATCTGAGGACCTGGGTTCAAGATGGTGGTGTAGCAAGATCCTCAATGTACCTCTTCCATGGACACAACAAATCTAAAACTAAATGTGGAATAACTCCTTCTGAAAGGCACCTGAAAGTTCAATGAACAGAACCTCCACAATAAAGGATAAAAGGATAGCGTCAAGATGGGAAAGAGGGGGCAGAAACACAGACTTGCTAGGGAATGAAACAAACCCTAGCTATGGTGATCATAACTGGGAGGGACATTAAAGGAACAGACTTTTTCCTGGAGGATCAAAATACCTGAGGTCTATATCTGGCACCAAATCCTTAGATCTTGAATGGGAGTGATGAGCCCTCAAAACACTAGGCTCTGAAAATCAACAGGCATCACCTTCAGGAAGACTATAAAACTGCAGGGAATAGAAAATCTGCTCTTAAAGGGCTGATATGCAGACTCACTCAACCCAGAAACCAGTACAAAAATACCAACTTGAATAGTACATGGACCATAGGTAAAGGAGAATCATTTGCTAACCTAAAACGGCAGGAACTTTCCCTGGAAACAAAGATTGGTAGGAGGAATTTTTGCGATTCAAGTCTGCCTTACTAATATGGGCACTGGTAGGCACTATTTTGGAATCCTCTAACATACTAGTGACAGTAAACACAGCCAGCAGAGAACCCTTCCCACAGACACACTGCAGCAGTTGTGGACACAACCTGCAGTCCAACCAAGTGCCAGCCCAGCCCACCAACATACCACAGCCCTGGGCCCTGCCACAACAGAAGGACAACACAGCCCACACAGGGGACACTCCTTGAACACCTGGTTCTAGTGATTGGGAGACTGTGTTTCTGGGCCCAATAGTGCATCTTCTATGTAAAGCCACTCATTCAAGACTGGGAGAGGTAGGTGACTTTCCTAATACATAGAAACAAACACAAAGAGTTAGGTAAAATGAGGAAACAGACTATGTATCCAAAAAGAACATGCCAAAATCTCAGGGTAAGAACTAAACAAAACACAGATAAGCAATCAACCTGATGAAAAGTTCAAAGAAATTATCATACAGATATTCAGTGAACTCAGCAGAAGAATGGTTGAACAGAGTAAGAAGTTCAACAAAGAGATAGAAGGTATAAGAAAGTATCAAACAGAAGTTTGAAAAATACACTAGAAAGATTCAACAGAAGACTGGACGAGGTAGAAGAATGAATCAGCAAGCTGGAAGACAAAGCAAGGGAACTTACCCAGACAGAACAGCAAAATGAAAAAAAAAAAAAATTAAAATAAGTGAAACAGATAAAGGAGATTAAGAGGTATAAATTTCCAGTTATAAAATAAATTAAGTCATGGAGATGAAAAGTACAGCATAGGGAACATAGTCAAGGTGATATTGTAATAATGTTGTATGGTATAACCGATGACAAAAGCAAGAATATACAGTGTGAAAAAGTCTCTTCAAAACAGGTGCTGGGAAAACTGGACATCTACACACAAAAGAATGAAACTGCATCACTTTCTTACACCATACACAAGAATAAATTTAAAATGGATTAAAGACCTAAATGTGACACCTGAAACCATAAAATTCCTAGAAGAAAACATAGGCTGTAATCTCTCTGACATGTGTGGTAGAAAGATTTCTCTAGATATGCTTTCTTTGGTAAGGAAAACAAAAGCAAAATTAAACTATTGGGACTACACCAAAATAAAAAGCTTTTGCCCTGAGAAGCAAATGGTCAACAAAATAAAAAGACAACCCACTGACTAGGAAAAGATATTTATTCGCAAATGATGTATCTGATAAGGGGTTAATATCCAAAATATATAAAAAGCTTATACAACTTAATACCAAAAAACCCCAAATGATTCAATTAAAAATGGGCAGAGGAGATGAAGAGACGTTTTTCCAGAGAAGATACACAGATGGCCAACACACAGAATAAGATGCTCAACATCACTAATCATCAGGAAAATGCAAATCAAAACCACAGTGAGATATCCCTTCACATCTGTCAGAATGGCTAGAATCAAAAGGACAAGAAATAAAATGTATTGGCAGGGAGACTGAGCAAATAGAACCCCTTGTGCACTGTTGGTACGAAGGTAAGCTCATGCAGCCACTGTGGAAAACAGTACGGAGGTTCCTCAAAAAGTTAAAAACAGAATAGAATCACCATATGATCCAGTAATTCCACTACTGGGAATTATCCAAAGGATATGAAAACACTAATTCAAAAAAATATATGTACCCCGTGTTTATTTCTGCATTATTTACAGTAGCCAAGATATGGAAGCAACTTAAGTGTCCGTTGATAGATGAATGGATAAAGACGTTTTATATATACACAGTAGAATATTACCCAGCCATAAAAAAAGAATGAAACCTTGCCATTTGCAATGACATGGATGGATCTAGAGAGTATTATATTAAGTGAAGTCAGTCAGAGAAAGACAAATACCATATGATTTCACTCATAAGTGGTATTTAGGAAACAAAACAAAGAAAAAAAGAGACAAAAACAAAAAACCAGACTGTTAACTATAGAAAACAAACTGGTGGTTATCAATGGGGAAGATGGCCAGGGGAGATGACTGAAATAGGTGATGGGGATTTAAGAGTACACTTACGATGAGAGCAATGAATAGAACTGTTGAAATATTATGTTGTACACTTGAAACTAATATAATATTGTATGTTAACAATACTTGAATAAAGCTACTTTAGAGAAAGAAAGAAAAGCCCAAAGGTATCTCCCTAGTTGGTAAAAAAAAAAAAAAAAAAAGTTGTATGATAATAGATGGTAACCAGATTCATTGAGGTGAGAACTAAATAATACATAAAATTGTTGAATAACTATTTTATGCACCTGAAGTTAATATAATCGTATATATCAACTATACTTCAATAGTAAACATTGAAAGAAAAAGGTGATGCAATGGATAAATGTTAAGAAGCTCTGGAAGGTTTGGAGCACAAAGGAATCAAGGGCAGAATGAATAGCAAAGGAGCTGCAGCAGTTATTTAAGTGTGGTATAATAATGACCTGCACAGTATGAGAGTTGAGAACACAGGAAAGAAAGAATGTAGCTGCGAATTACTCTGATAAAGAAGTGGTGGGGCTTGGTAATGGGAGTAGGCAGTAGAAGGGGGAAAAATTCCCTAAACTCCAATCTGAATCAAAGAATTATAATGTATTGGCTCCCAGACACCTTAATCACAAGGGCTAAAAAAATATCCACAATTTTAAAAGGGGAGGGAATTGATATAGCTGTTTATTTTGTTAACTGCCCATTTTTTAACTAAATACCAAAAACTACCACAATCATTTAAAAAAAATTTTTTTAATGTTTATTTTTGAGAGAGAAAGCGCACGCACAGGAGAGGGGCAGAGAGAGATAGAGACACAGAATCTGTAGCAGGCTCCAGGCTCTGAGCTGTCAGCACAGAGCCTGATGTGGGGCTCGAACCCCCAAGCCATGAGATCATGACCTGAGGTGAAGTTGGATGTTTAACCAACTGAGCCACCCAGGTGTCCCCACAATCATTTTTTAAGGAACAAAAAATTAAGGAGAACATACCTGAAAACAGTCTTTTGAAAAAAGAAGAGAAGATAGGAAATTAATTAGAATTCTAATTTTAGAAACAGTTCTGAGAATGTAAATTCAAGAAAAAAAAAAACATTAGCAGACATGTCTCTATCCTCTGACACTTTATCTGGCTACTTCCAAAATATCTTATAATAATTAACACTTTTTCCAGGTTACATAGCACCTTTACAAATGTGGTTTAAAAAAAAAAAAGGAAAAAATTAAGAAAAGTGAAGACACTTAAGGGACCTTTAAGACAACATCAAGTGGGATAATATTCACATTGTAGGGCTCTCAGAAGGAGAACAGAGAGAAAGGGCAAGAAAATTATTTGAAAAAATAATGGCTGAAAATTTCCCTAATCTGGGAAAGGAACTGAACACCCAGGTCCAGGATTCCCAGAGTTTCAAATAAGGTATCCCCAAAGAGATCCACACCAAGATACATTATAGTTAAAATGGTAAAAGCTAAGGATTAAGAGAGAATCCTAAAAGCAACAAGAGAAAAACAACTTGTTATGTACAAGGGAAACCCTACAAGGCTATTATCA